TATTAATTTCATGAAGAGTAGATATATTGGACACATTAGTAGAACATATTCTATCAAGACAAAAATGAAAAACGACAAAATGAAAACGTCTTCTTATTGAAATTTAATAAGATACAATATTCCTGCTGATTAGATACTAATCTAGAATTTAATTGACTTACAATTTACAGAGAAAGATAAAAGTTACACAGCATTTACAACATATATGGCAATAGGAAAATAAATAAATAACATGAAAACCAAAATTTCATCATCTTTAAAAATAGTAAAAGCTATAGATTGACCAACAAATCAGAAAGCCTTCACTCGGGATATAAAGCCATTAACTGATAAGAAGCAAGTGGTCTTTTCAAAATGGATCTATAGATGTGTATATAACCAAATAGAAAATCAACCAAAATCAGAGTCACTAAATTAATTTTCTCTATTGTCTGATGCTGCAATCATACCCAGAGACTAAATACAACTCTTGACATGACTAACTGTAACCCTACACATCTCACCTGTCCTTGCTACATTGAAAACAAACATACCTTCCTTCACCACATGGTCAAGTGGTGGGTACTACATTTGAATATATATATATATATATATATATATATATATATATATATATATATATATATATATATATATATATTTACTTCCATCAAGACACTTTCTCTGTCTTTCTGTTGTATATACCAGAACTTTTACATTTGAAGTCTTGGAACTTCAACTTTCATCTTATTCTTCTGTATTATTATATTGTGTATATAAAGATTTACTTTGTATTTATTAACATTTCCTTTTAATCATTACACAAGGCCAATATACTCCCAAATCAATTATATTGATATATGGTAGGAATGGTCATTGTCAGAAGGTAAACAGTTCATCCATAACTGATAACCTCCTAACAACCATATATATATCAAATTGTTAATCTGCAAAGTTTCAGTTTTTAGGCATTTATAGTTATTAGAAAGTATGTACTATTTAAGTAACAGACTTTAGAAATGTGCCAAGCATTTTTTGTTAAATATTCACATGCATTTTCTTACATCTATACATGAGGTATAAATAAAGAGATAATGTATCAAGTAGTGAGTCAAGCTTCAAGCAGTTCATATGATAATACAAGTAGCAGCTGGATGTAACAGACGAAGGTGAAGTTAAGAAATTTTCCTGAGTTTCATGTATTTCCTGTCACATGACAAGTATTTCCTTAGAAGAAAGTGGGCAATAAAAAGAAATTATAAGTTAACACAACCATTTCTGGAATATAAAAATTTTGAATTTACACTTTATCTCTTTTCTTCCTTTCCTTTTGATTGAGGATGAGTTGAAAAGTCCAAATTTAAACCTCAACCTTTCACAGATCCTTGCTGAGTGTCCTATAGTTGTGGTTTTGTACCAGAATTAAGCCACATATGTATATGGCATCTATTGGTCTTGAAAGGCCATGGATCTACACCTAAAGAGTTATGCCTCAGCTGCTGAAGGTGGTGCAACTTCTATTGTGGCTGTACATACCTACATGGGAGTGACAATCTCAATTGCAATGAATGCATGAGAAGATGCTCTCCCTAAGATTTCTCTGTGTTGTTTTCTTTCTGTTGGGCATTGCTTCTCCCTGGCTGAAAGTTTCTGTTTCTCCTCTCCTCATTCTAACTCTCAGTGTAAATTGCATCTCCAATATAAGCGATCATTGGCAATTCCTTCTCATCTCTTGATGTCCATGTCCCTTATGTCCCTTTTTACAGACTTCCTGAAAAGGAAAATGAGGTCACCCTCTTGCTGATGGTCAGTTCCCTGTACAGAAGCCACATATAGTAAATAGCTATTTACTAATGCCCAATAGAGAAAATGTATTAGATTGTTTCATGATAATCTTTACAGTAGAAAAAGGTCTTCCTATCTTGAAAATCAACTTTCAAAAGAATGTTTTTTACTTGACTAGAGGTTGCATTGAAAGCAGTAGGATTGCATGTAATATTCAAGAGAATTGAATATATGTTATATAGTCAACCAGAAGATCAAATTATTACATTAGAAGGAAAGCTGGAGTAAGTAGATGCCTTCAAGTACCTTGGTACTTGGATTCAGTTAAGTGGAAAAGACATGTAGATCATAATAGGGAAAGCCTGAAGTGCACTAAACAAAATGGAAAGTAAAATCCTCAAAACAATCAGAAAATATGATTTTTTCAGGCCACAGTGGAAAGCATGCTGTTCTACAGTGCTGTACTTTAAAAAAATTGGGTGATAGCATGACAGAACATGTACAAGGATACTTGAGGCTCTGCTTGATGTATCATGGAAAGAACACAAAATAAATAAGGAGCTCTATGGAAAACTACAAAGTCTGACAGAATCACTAAATTAGAAGCCTGTAATTCATTGTGTACATTTGGAGGAGGAAAAATATCTGTTAAATAAAGTACCCTTGCAGGAGCTTAAACATAAAAAATGGAAAAGAGGTAAACTGACTAAAACATATGTAGATCAGTTAAGAAATTATACTGAAGTGAAGAAGTAATAAAGATCATGGGAGACTGATTTTTTTTTATTTGTTTGTTTAATGGCATATCAACTCCTTATGGGTCATTTAATTTCAAAATTTAATTTTCTTGGGAGATTTGAAAATAAAAATATGATGCATGTTATTCTACTTTCACAGTTGAATACATGGTAGATGATACTCAGCTTTTGTGTGTATACATGTTTGTGTGGGCATAATTACTAGAGGTGGTGATATGTGTATTTTATGTTGTAGTTTTGTTGAAGTTATATTTTAGAATACAGTTTGATGTCTTTAAGAATTTGGAGGGTATTATATGGATTAATGTCATGAAAGAGTCCTTTCATGTTGGTTGTTGAATTGTATGCCTTTAACTCAAGATAAAATGTATTGTTAGTCATTTCACTATAAGTAAGTATTGTTGGTAATTTTACTATAAAAAATGTATTTTTATACTTTCATAGTGTTTTGTTTTTGTTTTGGGATTCACTATTTCCCCATAGCTGGAACTCTAACAAGTGCTACTACCCTGAGTCAGGATGGAGCTGGGAACAGCAGCAATTAAGAGAGCGTTCCACACTCCTCAAAACCTCCACTCTCCCGATCAGAAGCCTTGCTGCCAGATGTATTTTAACCCATCACATGTAGGAAGAGGGAAGAATTAAAGAAATGAGTTAATGGTGTTTGAGTTCACTCAAAATATTATAATAATAATAATAATGATAATGAGAACCAAAAGAAAGATACAGAAAATTGTAAAAAAAAATATTATTGGAGAATATTGTTAAAGATAATGCAGTTTCCCATGATGCTAACCAGAAATTTTATTACCCCACTTGGCTTCGTAAAACACCTATTAGGTGGTGCTGTTCAAGTCAAAAGGCAAATATTTTCTTTACTTTATCTCTTGCTCCAAAATGTAGCATTATGTAAAAAAAGGTGTCCTCACTGGAACATGTTTGTTTCTGTAGTCCACAGACAACTGTATTCTCTTTCCACTTTCCAATGTATGGCGTTTGCATGTGCCTCCTAAAATCCCCACCCATGAAGTAAATCAATGATTTCTTTGGTTGTTCCAACTCAGCACAAGGTTGACTAGAGCTTGACTATTATAACCATGCATAAAACTCTATAGATAAATTTAGACAAGTTTTATTTGGTCATTCCAACTCTGTGCAAGGCTGACTTAAGCTTGACTATTATAACTACTGATGAAATAAATACTTTGGTTGTTCTAACTCAGCACAAAACTGAGTTGAGCTCAAACATTTCTAACCATTCATATCACTTTTTACCCTAACTTCTGGACCCAAAAAAGAAAACCGACATACTCAAGAGACATTGAGAACTTTGTTTCCCTACACTACTATAAGAAAATATTAAACAGTCCATAATAGAAATCCAAGTTTTTGTTGCTTAACTGTCTATATGTGAAGATGCACAAATCTACAATACACAAACACTCAAACTTTAAAATCTATAGGAGGATACTATACTTGGCATATAAAAAAGTACAAAATAAACTAGGAGCTCTACAAAAAACTAGTGTGACAAAATCAATTCCTAAGACTACGATTCATTGGGTGCATTTGGAGGAGAAAAGAAGAAAGTAGTTAGTTAATGGTTTTCAAGTTTTGCTTAAAATTGTGGAAAAATAAGTGAAATTACCTGCGTGTGTTGGGTTGCTGTCAGACATGGGAGGCAGAGTGTTTGCTATGGTCTGTTTTTCAAAGTGAGGCCACTCAAGCAATGGTTTTTGTAATCTTTTTACTGGAAGGGGTGGGATGCGCCAGTCTGCCACTTTGTTACTTAAGGCCTGCCTTCCTTCCCTTCTCATCTCTTTTTATTGTGAGAGTAACTTTATGAGAACAGAGTCGTTTTGTGGGCTCTCTTCTTCTCTCATTATTAATTAATCCCTGACTGAAATTTGGGTTATGAGACTAGGCAGTGTTTCGCAATACTGTACTAGACCTGCTTCTGATTTACCCTTTGAGTCAAAAGGAATTTTTGACAAAATAGAAGAACAGAGTGGCCCTAGATATTTATTTACAAAGTTTTAGACTAGGACGAGATCACAATAGAATCGAACTCACGACACAAGCAATGACTCACGAGATTAGTTTGCTAACCATAGCTCTACAGCAAGCGTCTCACGCTGCTCTGAAAACTCGGCTTCACCCAGTTAATAAGCAAAAGGAGCGGGTGTTTCCTCAGAAGGGAAACTACTGTCACGTACACCGAAATAAATGTCATAGCCCATCTAATAAAGACGTCAATTTAATAAATATCTGATTGAAGGTAAAGGTTAAAAACAGGTACCTAGATACTTCATTCATATACTGTGTTATACATTAAGGTAAATCTAGTCGTATAAAAAAGTACTTATTGGCTGGAGGTAGCTTCTTCAATCTTCATTAATGACACACCGGTAACGCCATTTTGTCCCTAGAACAGCATGGTCGATTTTGTTTTTAACTTACGTTGAAACAAAATTGGTCATGCCTCTGCTAGAATATGAAAACCAAATTTTTTTGGATTGCTTCCATGAAGATGGACTACTTATCATGTCCGAGTAAGATAAATAATAATTTTTCACATATAAGATTAAACTTCATTATTTTTTGTGCATGTGGTTAAAATAAATAATCGGCGATAAAATAATACTCGTTCGTTCGTATTTATTTTAAATAAATTCAGTATTCATATTTCAATTTAACTCATCTTTTTTTTTTTTTTTTACAAGTAAAGTTTACAAACCTGATGTCTTTAGAATACATGAGACTTCTGTCGTAATTTGACATGTTTCGATTAATTTAATTGTGAAACATTCTTGCTAAAAAAAAAAAAAAAAAAAAGTTGCTTTTAAAAATGTATCAACCTATCTTGATATTTGTTTGCAACGAACTATATCCAGGGAACAACCGGAATCCGAAAAATAAAAAACGTTAACATTTTTTTGGGAATTATAATTTCTTTTCCTTACAAAACGACATATGAAAAATATTATTTGTAATAATTTAAAAGTTTAAAAATGTTGAAAAAGCAAGTGCTTTCGCCCAAGTAACATGGACACTATACATTTTTAAATCAGTAAAATTATACTCTAAATATGTGCAACGATCTAGAATACATTAAATAACCTTTTTAGTAAATTAAAATTCAATAAATTATTTAATAAAAAAAAGTGAATTACGTTTTTTTTTTACTTTGAATGTCAACAATATTGAATTTCCTTTGTTTCAGACTCACCAAAGCAATATTTATCTTATTTTAATTAAACCATAACCTCTCAAGTAAGATTTATTTAAAAGTAAAACATATGTTCATTTCATGTTCGCATAAAAATAGTAAACTGTAATCTAAACAAACACGTGCGACATCATCAGGCAAGAATGCCGGTTTATGAAAATTGAAAATTATTATTTCATGAATTATTCTAAAATTCTGGGTACCTCCACTAACTTTCTAAAAGAAACCCGAAAACATATTTTAATATTTTAAAAATACCTTCTTTGAACTTAAATTTCGGTTCTATTTGAAATATAACGGTCTACTAATCCGAATCAAATAGTGTAACTTTTTTCGTCATTCATGGAGCCACCATTGTCAAAATCAAAATTTCAAAATGTAAACAAATTTTAAAATAATTCTCTTTTAAAATCCAATATTTGTCATAAAGATGTGCTTCAATTTTATTAGTAAATTTATGGATTAATTAACTCAAACTTGATTTTCTAAAAGTAATGCTTATCTTTAAAACGGAATGAAAATAATCTAATGGTCAAAGAATCCCCTCTGTATCCGAAAAACCGCGGGGAAAAAAAGTAAGAAATAAAAGAAAACCTAACGAAGTACGGAAGACCAGCAGTTCAACAATCAAAAATTTATTTTTATCCTTAAAATTAATTTTTTTTTAACCTTATATAAATAAGAATATATATATATATATATATATATATATATATATATATATATATATATATATATATATATACGCTTTTATTAGTGATGAATATTATTTTTAAAGATAAGTAAGATTAATTGCATAATATTCCTTCAATATTGAATCGTAGTCAGTCAACGCGAGATATCAGAATTATTCTTCGTTTTGTAAATCTATACCAAAAAAAATCTAACAGTTGCTAAAAGGAAAAAATAAAATTCTTTTAAAAAAGGTTCACTCTCTAAAATGGAATTAAACTTTACATTTTCTTTTTAAATTTTCAAACATATCTTTATTTAATAAAGTAAAAAAAACTCTTGTGACAAACAGCAATAGAATTCAAAATTCTACTGAAAAATAAATAATAAAAAATAAATTTGTTTAGATGTTTTTCTGTAAATTCTGAAAGAACATTACACAAGCATTAATTCTCAAAAAAATTATTTTTTGAGTTTTATTGAATTGTTTTATAGCAAGATGTGGGCCAAATTTACCATATGTTCACACTTGATATTTTACTAAAATAATATCTTCAAGGATTTCTTTCTATATAACTGTAAAAATTTGGATGAAAAAAAAAATTTAAAGTATACATGTAATATTGAAAAGGTGTGAACTATCCACCAAAAATTATTTCCACAAGTTATTTTTTAATAAAATAACATATTCAGTAAAATAGTAATTCATTAATAATAATTCCCTGATTTTTGGCAAATATTTTAAAACCATGGCTGTTGTTTTTTTTTTTTTTTTTTACTTGTGAAAAAAGTATCCATTTTGGGGGTACCTAAATCATTTGAACTAGTATCTTCATCTGATCACTGTTTTGGCTAGTGTGCTCTTCAATTTTTGCCATAAACAGTCATGATTATAATTTTTTTTTTTAAATAAAATGAGTATCTTTGTCTTAATTTTGATTGTTGTATTTTTAACCTGTAAGTTTCTGACTCATAAGTTTATTTTGCTAGCATCAATAATCTTTAAGAGGGTGTGAAAAAGAGTATTAATATATATAATTTTTAACCCCATGTTAATCATCCCACTGATTAGTATAACTCATATTTGTACAATCACTAATCAATAAGATAATAATAAAGTTATTTTTTGTGCTTCTCTTTTCATGAGCAGTTAGTAGTTGGGGAGCATCATGACTGTCAAAAAGGTTTTTTTTTTTTATTTGAAGTCTGAATGTTGAGGCTGCCAAGGCAACTTGGGAATCACATATAGATACGTGAAAACAAAATCAGTACAGGGTTACCTGATGTGAAGGTATTTCTAACTGGGCTTCATTTGCCAGGATATATACTACTTTTTTTTCACAAAATTTGTTACCATAGCATTCAGCATTTGTTGATGAGATACTCTTATCAGCTTAAGTATCATAATGGGTGTACAGTGTCTTGTATATTTGTATCTCAAATGGAGAGTCCTAGTTGTTGATAGCCAGTCCTCCATGACCCAAGCAATCAATGTAGGCTTCCCCAAAATTCACTTCTCAGTTCAACCCTTTTTCTACTTTGCATAAATGATCTAAGAGTATATACTCTGATCATTTGTGATTATCTATACTGATGATACAATGGTATATGGGTGCACCTCCAAAACTCTAGATGACCAGAGATTGGCAGCTGATCTCTCGTCTGACCTAATTCTAACATCTCAGTGAGGAGGGGGGACTGATTGGTCACAAAAAACAAACTAGTTACAATGCATCATCACCAATCAAACCCAGAAATTTCACCATTCATGATGAAAAGATGTTCCTTCAGAGAAGCCCTGTGCCTATTGGGAGTTAAACTCAACCCAGACCACAGTTGGAACTCATACATACAATCTATTGCTAAGGATGCTGGAAAAATGGCTGGCTCCCTGTACCACTTCAGTAAGTACCTGACTCATCTCCTGTTATCCTCTATCTTTACAAGAGCCAGATCAGGCCAAAAATGGAGTACTGCTACCACATATAGGCAGGAGCTGCCTAGTCTTCACTTTCCAGTCTTGATAGAGCCCAAAAGCATCTCCGCATCCTTTTGAGTGATGAATTATTTTCCACCCTGCAACCCCTTTCTCAGATGAAATGTTACAAGCCTCTTGCTGCTCTACTGCTATTTCCATGGAAAGTGTTCAGACAAACTATATTCTTTAGTTTGACCAGCTCTAAACTTCACAGCTAAGACTTGCCATGCTAGGTGCATTGTAGCAAACCACTCTCATTCCTTTTGTATTCCATTGGTGAGATAAGTTCCACTTTAGCAGCTTCTTCCAATGAACAGCAGCTTTGTAGAACTGATTTCCAAGAGGATGCTTCCCTGATCACTACACTCTTAAACCATGTCTAAAATTAATCATTATCTTCCCCACATATCTACATAAACTATGCTTCTTACTCTGTAACCTTCAAGTGTCTCTCAGACCTTGTACAGGCTGAACATCATGCCAACTTTGTTGGCATGCTGCTCTCTCAATAATAATAAAATAGTAATGAGAATTTATTCTATTGTACGTCTCTAATCATGAGTGGAAATGGTGGAGGAACCTCATGGCTATTCTTTTGAGTTTTTTTTTTTCATGCTTGAAAGATGAGGCAGCCTAGGCATATCTGGATACTTGGTTACACCCCAAATCACAGACCATCTGAACAGAAGATATTTGTAACAGTGCCCACCAACAAGGTTATGTGCTGCTTTTTGCCAAAACCTATCACCGTTTTGCGTGCGTTTGGCTGTGATGCATGTACCTTGTATACCCTTATCAGACAGCGTGTCATGATAGGCATGTTAGGCTTTGTATATTTCTACCTAGTGTCACATTTTTAGCATATTCCTTTCTCACTCAATATTATTATTATTACAGGGTGTGTAATGTCATATTTATGTTTATAGAAAAACAGATACATAATAACAGATAATAACTTTACTATTGAAAAATTTTATAAGCATAAAAATGCATCATCTTTTTTATAATTTTATTCAATAAAGCCACCTTCAGCTTCAACAACTGATTCTATGCAAGATCAAAATCCTCTACATGGTCAAATTTAATTTCCCTGATTCATATTGGACATTACTATAATTAATTAGCAATAAATATTTGTATTATGACTTCTGTATATGTTGTATGCTGCTACAATCAGCTCGTCTACCTCCCTCAAGATGAAGTAATGGGCTACAGGCAAGACTACAACTTTACCAACACACATATCTTTTCCCCAAGTATGGCACAGCATCATTGCTGGTTTAGTGATCTCTGTTTTGTCCCCTTCTCAGTCTTGCAGTACAAAAAGATACCAGAACAATATTGAACGAATATGCAATGTTTCTTTGCCTGTGTCTATACAGCCATAAAAGGAATTCTGATTCATGGATCAAAACTATTTAGTATTAAATTGCCCTGATTCATATTAGACATTATTATGGCAGATTTCAAAGAATCTTTGGTGTTATGAAGGTATTCATTGGTCTCACTATCAACAACGCTCCACATGTAGTAGTCCACTGGATTGAGATCTGGGAAATTAGGAGTCCAAATGTTAAGGGTTATGTGATCATGAAAATTTTCAGCCATCCATTCCTGCATTATCTGAGCCTTGTGTGATGGTGCAGAGTCTTGCTGAAACAGCCTTACATTGC